AAAATGCCTTCTTGCATGGAATTTTACAGAAGAAGTATATATGTCTCAACCTCCAGTATTTATTGATTCTCAGCACTCTGATTATGTTTGCAAGTTACACAAATCATTGTATGGATTGAAGCAGGCCCCTAGAGCCTAGAATGAAAAGTATACAAGCTTTTTTCCTTCACTTGGGTTTCAAACCACATATGCAGATTCATCATTGTTTGTTAAAAGGCATGGAACTTCTGTTGTGATATTACTCTTGTATGTAGATGATATTATGATCACTGGGAATACACCTACTATGATTGATAATGTGATTGCTGCTTTGACAAAGAAATTCGTAATTAAAGATTTGGGTCCACTACACTTCTTTCTCGGTATACAAGTTATTACTCAAACTGATCGCTTATTCTTGTCTCAACCAAAGTATGCTAAGGAGTTGCTTGCCAAGACAAAAATGTTGGACTCCAAACTATGTTCTACTTTTTGCTTGCCATATAACAGATTGTTACTTGATGATGAAGCACCATATAACAACCTTGGTTTGTATAGAAGTGTAGTTTGAGCATTGTAGTATCTTACATTTACAAGACTTGATATAACCTTTGCATTTTATTAGGTTTGTCAATTCACACAAAACCCTATGGAATCTCACTTTATTACAGTCAAGAGGATACTGAGATACTTGAATGGTATAGTCAATCTGGGTGTACATTATGTTAAGGGTGATTTGGATGTTAACTTGGATACTGTTAGAGCATTTTTAGATGATGATTGGGCAGGATACCCTAATGACAGAAGATTTATAACAGGTTTCATGGTATTGTTGGGATCAAATCCAATCGCATAGTCTTCTAAAAATCAATAAACAGTTTCCAGGTCATATATTGAAGCTGAATATCGGCACTTGCAACTACTGTTGCTTAATTGGACTATAAGACAGCTTTTATCATTTTTGCATGTCCCTATTCCTACTCAACCTATTCTTTATTGTGATAATATGTCTGCCATTGCACTTACTTGCAATCTTGTGCTACACCAAAGAACTAAACACATTGAGGTGGACATTCATTTTGTTAGAGAAAAAGTGGCAAAGAAGCTGTTACAGGTGCAATTTATGTCATCCAGTGAACAATATGCTGATATTTTAACAAAGGGCTTGTCTACACCCTTGTTTCAAACACACTTCAACAATCTCAGTCTTGGATATTCTCCTTTCCTAAGCTTGAGGGAGAATGTAAAGGATAGTGATCTAATGGTGTAAAAGGGGACACTTGTCACAAGATTACAAAGGTTGTTAAAGAAGTTAGTTAGAGTTAGTTAAGTTGCTTAGGCAGCAAGATTCATAGTGTTAGTAGTATATCAATGTAACTGTAACAATATGCTGAATTAATGAAAAATATATTCTCTCCAAAGATTTTTCTCTCTCTAAAACCTTCGTCACCTTCGATTCCCTACTGTTATATCAGTTAGGTTTAGAGTTGAGATGGTAAAAGTAGTTTTATTTTTAAAGCCAGTAGTTGTTCAATACTTAATTTAGACTTCTAGTTTGATTACATAATATGTACAACCTAATGCAACTAACCTAATATGGAATTGTCAAGGGTTTGAAAAATCTTGGATAGTTTAGGGGATGCTAGATCTTGTTAATTAGGCAGAAAGATACCATGATGGTGTTTTTGTTTGAAAAAAATGTCATCTTTCTACCCTTCATTTATTGAAAGCTCAAGTGGGTTTCAGCAAGGTTTATTGTATTTATTCGAGAGGTCAATCGAAAGGTCTCCGCATCTTCAGAAAAGTAATTTAAATCTTAGAGTTCTCTCTTCCACTGAGCATTATATTGATGTAGAGATTGGTGGAATTGGATATGATGGCCAATATGAAAATTCACCGGCTTTTGCACTCACCCCGTGATAAAGAATGACTTTATTGTGGGACATCTTTCAGCGATTAGCGTCAGCTAATTCTATATCTTGGGTTGTTGGAGGAGATTTCAATGAATTACTCCATATTTATAAAAAGGAAGGTGAATGAGTGCAACCTATCAAGAAAATCCTTAATTGAAGGGGATTTGTAAGTGCTTGCAATTTGAAAGACTTGGGCTACCTAGCCTTCCTTACACTTGGATAACAACTCATCATGCTAAAATAAAGAGAGGCTCGATAGGGTGTTTGTGACTACATAACAGAATGAGCGATTGACACACCCAGATCTTGGTGTTCGGAGGCCAAGGAGATGGCCAGTGAATGGCCACTAAAGAAAGTTTAGGTTCCACAGTAAAACCAATTAAAAAAATATAGGAAGTAGCTCAACTACTTATAAGCACATGCAAGGTCCCTCAATTTCCCAACGTGGGATTCACTCTCAACACGTCCATTCACATGGGGCAAGTTTTCAAGCCTAGCACGTGGATGACACAAATAGAGTGTTTTAGAGCATGTTTGGCCGTTGGGCTTCACCAATGGGACAACTTGCTTTAATATCATGAAGAAAGTTAAGGTTTCACCATAAAATCAATTGGCAATAAGAGGAGGAGCCCAACTACTTATAAGCACACGCAAGGTCCCTTTTTTCGTGATGTGGGATTCACTTTCAAGTGCCACATGCTGGTCGACACTCAATGAGTGACACAAGCCATCATATCGAGGTTATGCTTAGAACGTGTAAACATGCATGCAAATTTGCGCCGAATATAATAATTATAAATAAAATACATATCTTCTAAAAATTAAAATATGAGAATGCAAGAATATGTTCAGAGTGTACGATTAATCAAGATTACAAGCGAGAGAAATATTATTTAAAAGTGCGGTTACATAGGAAGAGGACCTACATATAGGGGAGGACTCGAAGCTACCCATACAGGAATGCCTCGAAGTTGGGGTCGTATTCCTCATTTCTATGTTCTGAACGGGGCGAAGAACAAAGGTAAATGGACAAGAGTTCATAGAAAAATAAGTAACATAACTCTGTTTTTTAACCTACTAATCCTTGTTTTGGAAAACTCATATAGTATCATACGAAGTAGGTTTTTCTGAAAATCCTATCATGCCATAAAATATTCGTATATCATATATGACAGTGTGCTTATTAGTGGTATCATATTAATCATGAAAAGACTCATTACAAAAGGCAAATTTGTACAACATTGGGTTGCCCTTGTGAAGAAAACATGTCACGCCGGCACTAGCCTTGGCTAGTGAAGCTTCTTGACACTAGTTTTGCCAATGAAGATAAGAGTATATCATATGGTACCTTGATACGCATAAAACTACATCATATGGCCATAGACAGGTACATACTCTTGTTGTGTGTATGATTACCGACTAAATAAGAACATAAAACATAAACATATTCTTTTCATATCATAGCATAGGAGCTCAATAGCTCGAAACATCGTATCATAAAAATTCAAGAGCTTTCTAGCCCAAAACGTCACCATAGATCATAATCGTTTCGTAGAACGTGAAATCCTTCAATTATGTTTTTCATGTGTGCATCTCTAGTACGAATTCTATAAAATCATGCATATGTAAAAAGGGTCTACTCATAGATACTCTGTCCACGAAAAATTGTTCAAATTAGGAAGGACGAGGTCACCGATAACAATCGCACCTAAGCATATAAAGGACCCATTAGTAAAACTCTATTAAAACAATTGAATTTGGAGAAACAAAGTGTGGACTCAAAATTAGCGTGTCGAGATGCCCTGGGAGGGTCTCAAAGCCAATTACGTCAAAATGTCAACGGTAAACGTTAACTGGACATCGCCAGTCGAAGTTGGTTCGAGTCAAAGTGCAAAAAAATACAGGGTTCTACAGATTTTAGTCGGAATCCTTCCGGCTTTAGTGCGCCGTCGTGTGTGCTCCACGCCTGGTTTGATGACTGCCTTCCCAACCTTGAGGCGAGTCCAATGGTGGTATTGAGCCTTGGTTTCTTGCCGTTTGGCCGGAAAATAGACGGAAAGTTGTGGACTTTCCGAGCATCAATTTAGCGATTGGGAAGGAAGTTCAAGATGAGACTGGGTATTATGGGATCATGAGGACAAGATGAAGCTGGTGGTGTCCTTGATTTGCAAAGTATCGGATATGCCACATTATTTGCTGCACGTATTTACTGTATATAGCGTAATTGTGGTATATTATATAGCTTTAGAATTTTATTACTGACAAGAAAATTTCATGGCAATCAGAGCCGAGGTGGCTAAAAGATATTCTGTTAATTGTTAAACTACAGTGACAAGCATCATCCATCATTGTTTACTTTTAATGGCTAATTTACAAGCGACACATCAAGCTTATTTCCTAATTTACAAGTGAAAGGAGGAAAGAAATAAAAATTTAAATTAAATAGAAACTAAAATTCACTCTCGTTTTTGTCCTTTGAAGCAAAGTCAAATAATGCCGAAGTTTCAAACACATATAGCAAATCTCAAAAAACCAACTCCCCAACATTTCTTTTGGAACTTTAATGCCCTAAACTTTTTCCTTTCCATTTTAAGATCCTTCCTTTTAAATTGATGTGGTAGAAAAGAGAGCTAACCTATTTGACACAAGATCCTTCCTTTTAAATTGGCGTGGTAGAAAAGAGAGCTAACCTATTTGACACGGATTTACGGAGACACTGTAATTTGGCAAGATAAATTCTTTGTCTTACTAGCTGATGTGATTTTGACATTTTGTGCTAATTTACAAGCTAATATGAAAACAAAAATATATAAATATCATTGATATTGCTCAACGTCATAATAACAATGTATCGGGACTTACGTTGTATCAGTTATTTCCTTAAGACTCAGAAAATCACTAGTTTGAATCTCCGCCCACCAGTAACATAGTTTGTATCAAAAGATGTGGACAGTATGGCACAAGAAGTTTATGCCGCTGTTACTGACTGTGAACTGAATAGTAAACTCTTTGCACAGTGGTGTTGGCATGCATTGCGTCCACGTGGAAGTCCCTGAACCTCATACCTCAGAATCTGAGCAAAATGTTTAAGGGAAGGAGCCTTCATGCTTCTACGCATGGCAGGCATTCTCTTGCTTCTACTGCAATCCCTTCTCTCTCTCCTCTCCTCTCTTCTCTCTCTCTCTCTCTCTCTCTCTCTCTCTGTGTTAAAATTTAATTGAAACTCAAACTCTCATTCATTCTCTCTTCTGCTTCTTCTTCTTCTCTCCCTGTGCGTATATGAGAACAATTTATGGAGTAAATGGACAACAGGTACATGGGTCTTCAGACTCTATTACCCAATTTATTATAATTGTTGTTTTTGATGCTGTTTCAATACTTCAACCCCAAGTTATTTTTATTTAATTTTCAATTTTTTGATCACATATGCAGATATGCTATTGTATATTGGAACTTGATATTTTTCCCTTTTTAGTTATATATTCATGTTGGATTTGTCTTAAGTTATCAATTTCTGATTAGAAACTATTTAACATTTGAACACCCTTTTGTAGTCCTTGCAAAAGGGAAATGGAGGTTTCCTGAAGAATGAAGAAGTCTGTTCAATTAGTACTGAAAAATTCATGTTTGTTCCAAAAATATTATCTCAATATTTGTTTATATTTATAGATAATACGAGCCTGGAATATTTGCATCTGAGAACAAGAGGGTAGTTGATCAGAAAAAGAAGAGAGAGAGAGAGAGAGGGTATTTTTCTTTTTCTCATTAAAATTTAAGCTTGCAATGAATTATTTTTTAAACCTGCTGAAGTTTAATCCCCTTTCTGTTGAATGGTTTCACTATTAATTGCATCGAATCCTTCCACAAGGAACTTTATTATGTATATATGATGGCTTGCAGATCAATTTTGTTGCTTATTGTGTAGTTGCTTCGCCACTTGCCTATTGGATTGTACTTGTGTTTAAGTTGGGGACAGTATTGATGTTGTTTGGTAGTGGTTCATACCTGTGCGGTGGTAAATTTGCTAGCTTTATATACACTGTTGGTCCAGTCCCTAACAGTTTAAGACTTTTGGGGTACAATGGTTATCTAACATGGTATTGAAGCTATGGTTTGCAGGAGGTCTTGGGTTAAAAAACCCAGTAGTCATTCCCCACTTCTTCGTCGGTTTACATGGTGAAGGGTGGGGATGCACCTATATGTCTCTCTCTGTCTGTATTTCTCTGCCTCTCCTCCAAGTGCAGGATAAGGCTATATGTGAGGGAGGGTGTTAGCTTGATTTATATTGTTGGTCAATTCCGTTTACAGCTTAAGCTTTTCAAGTTCAGTGTCGTCTAACAGTATTTTGTTAATTAATTCAAATAACAGAAGAATCTAATCAAGTACCTCAAAAATTCTATATATCAATAAAGTTTTGAAACCTGATTAAAGATTGTATTAATATCACAGGTAATAGAACTCTATGCTTTCAACTGCCAATCCCTCTGATTTACGGTTAGGTATCCTTATTGCTGAGCCAGCTTAATGTGTAGGTTGCATCTATCTCATAGCAAAGGATTCATAGTGGATATAATGTGGCTGATGCGCCTTGTGATGTGCTACTTTTTTTGTACCAGTCTTTTTGTTGTGCTACTTTTTTTGTCCCGGTTGGTTTGTTGTATCCTCTGTGAAAAAGGATAGTTGATAAGCCTCCTTTTAGCAGGGCATTAAATTTTCGAACATCTTCATAGAATAGTTTCTAATTATTGTCCCCATGGTTTTCAAAATAGAAGTGAGAGGAGGATCGTCACATATTTTTATTAGAAGCCTAAAATTTCAATGGGAAGTGATTGTTATTTTTCTTGTAGGAACATAGAGCCTGTGACTGATTTGGGACTAGTTCTGGGTCATTCAAATCAATGCATTCAGAGAAAGTTGAATGGTGATTCAGGTGCAGGTGCAAATGCAGGTTCAAGGATACACATGGCATTCGTGGCTCCCGATCCCCTTTCAGAATTAGTTTGGAATACAGATAAAGGTTCGTGTCTAAATTGAGCTGATTCCATCTTTTCCAAACAGAAAAATCTTACTTTTCTTGGGTTGCAGGTGTAAGCAATGTCACTCTTTCACCACCACAAAGCAATAAAGGTGGGAGGTCTGCTGCTGACAAGCCTATTGATGACGAGGACTTTATAACAGCACAGACATCATTTCATCTAAAGAGCGAATTTGCTGGTAAAGATATGACCATGTCTCCCACAAGCAATGCTGGTGTCATGCCATTATGCGGGTCAAGCCATGACACGGGTGAGGCCTTTTTCTTAAATATTTGTTAGTTGAGTATAAACACAAGAGTCTTTAAGTTGTAGGATGATGAATTTGTAGCATAGTTTTGTTACGTTGTTTGTTTATTTATTCCCCCCAAAAATTACTGTGGGAATTGTTGAGTAACTCCTCTTTGCAGGAACTGTTGGTAACGTGGAGGAAGAGAAGGCGGCTGTGGAACTATCTGTTCTGTACAACCAGGAGGGGACTTCTAGTCAAGCGAATATCGAAGTAACTGAAATACCTCAGATACCTGAAACCAGAGAAAATTTCATTTCAACATTGACAGGTGAATTCTGCCATTGACATTTTCAGTATTGCAAAGTTATTTTGGTAGATGAAATTTAGAAAGCTCCTGCAGCTTATGTTCAAAATGCAGTAAAATTGTTCGATGGGCCATTTTTCCAGTATATGTTGCCCTGCCGACAACAAACCTTTTCTTCATTTTGCATACAACATGTTATTGATTTGATTGTACACCTGCAGGTAACGGTGACAGAGAGGGGGCTGATATCTTATTAGTCGAATCAGATCAAAAGATACCCTTTGTGGAACAAAATGAACCATTATTGCGGGATCCTGTTGATGAAGATAAACATGCTGATGTTGGTGATCAGAAAATGCAAATGGATCTTGTTTTGGCTTCCGAAGTTAACCCAGTGAACGAAAGTAAAGCTTCGGGTGGCCCTGTGGTGAATAAAAAGGCACAACGCAATAGGCCTTTGGATAAACTAGAGGCAACAGCTGAGAATGATTTAATGACTCTCAAAACCCGACATGCTTATGGTGCAGCGAGTCAGATTTTAGGTCCAGAATCTGTCCCAGGGGTTAAGGACAGGTTCGATCAGGGTCAGGAGAGGGTTCCTGAAAACGAATCTGTTCTGGACAAACTATCCTAATAACAGCAGAATCCATATGCATCAAAGGAAAGGAAAAGAAAAATTGTTATCTGATGGAGATCCTAATGGAAGAATGCCAGAAGATGAGAATGATAGCAATGAGAGTGTCGAGAGCTGTAATAGCGCAGGATTGTTTTCGTCAGGCAAGAAGAGTTGGAGATCTGAAGAAGAGTTCATTGTTGGGAGTAAAAGATTCAGAAAGAAAATTCAAGAAGCTCCGATTTCCACATCCTATATTAGACAAGATAGCTCCTTCATGAATTGGATATCAAGCATGGTGAAGGGTTTTTCAAAATCAATGCAAGATGAGGCACCACCTCTTGCTCTTACCCTTGCACATCCTGATCATGGAGATGAGAATCCTGATAATAAACGTATCACATGTAATACAAACCAAGATGATGGAGTAAAAAGTATAGGTTTCCAGACGATTTTTCAGTCCTTGTATTGCCCAACTGCAGACTGCCAAGAAGCACGGATGTTGAGTGACAATCATAAAATGGGAGAAATATCAACGGAACTCGAGCCAGCTACTTCTCCAAAAGTCTATCATGGGGAGAACGTTAATTTAGGCCAAGAATTTCTACTGTCAGTTGAGAAGTTCAACAAATCTTCATCTGGAAATGAAGTTCGTTCAGCAGGTAGTCAGGAGAAATGCCATACTGGTTCCGAGAAGAAAAAGAATCCATGCAACTTTCCGTTTTATAAAGGGAAAGATAGAGTTATCCCTAATTCTTCTCTGGGTAAACGCAAGGAAAGGAGGATCGAGAATTTTGAATCTAGCTCACAATTCAAAGGGAAGACGACTGGGGAATTTGGTTATAGAAGGGACCTTCTTGGAAGCTTGTGGATAACTCGGTTGACTCCAAAAACATCTGGTCCATCTTTAATCGCAGATCATTACAACAAGAGTGCTGATGGAGTTCTTGAGAGCTCCAATGACCTCAAAAATATGGGAGCCAGGGAGCAGTTTGGTGAAGATTTAGTTATTGTCATTGGTAACGATCTGCAAAATTGTGCGGCTGAAAATGAGGGCTCATCTGCTTTCAATAGAAACAAGGGCCAGAATGATGAAGCGCCCATGTCCGAGTTCAGCCCTATCATGCCTTGCTCTGAAGTCAGAAGTTCGGAAGGAATGGCTCTGTTTTTGCTAGGAGATTGGATGCTCTTAAGAACATCACCCCACCTGGTGCCACAGGTAATGCAGCCGATGAAATCACGATGTGTTTGTTTTGTGGCATAAAAGGTCACCATTTACAAGAGTGTTCACAGATAAGAGAGACAGAGCTTCAGGAATTATTAAGTAAGAGCAAGTCCTATAATGTAGCAGAAAATCTGCCTTTTTTCTGCATTAGATGTTTACAACAGAGTCATTGGGCCACTGCATGTCCTAAAGCACAGTCAATGGGGCAACCACAGTTGGAATGTAACGTTTCTTTTCTGGATTATTACTGCAGTCAGAGTGGAACGAATCTCAACTCAAGAAATGATGGAAATATGAAGCTCCCAACTGGTACGGAGAGCAAGTTCGAAGCTTCTGTTGCTCATACATGTTTTAACGAGGACTATTCAAGAATGGAGACAGATATAAATATGAGCTGGAAGGATAATGCAATGGGAGCCCCTAAGAAAAGGGCATATCGCTCAAATTCAGTTATGAAATGCAGTGCTTCGAGTTCTGTGGAAAATAAGTATAAAGAAAATCTGATGATGCCCTTGTCAAAGTTAGTCAATACACAGATTTCAAATGTACCAAAAGGAATTGTTGAGTCTGTAAAAAGGCTTCGCTTGTCTCGTACAGATGTCCTGAAGTAAGTTTAGCACGAAGTAGCCTCAGTTTCTATTTTCTTGTCAAATCTTATAAGAGGAAATTTTCTTGCATAAAGCAGTTTGTTCGATCACTCTGATCATTGGCATATGCACTTCTAAGTAGCTGAATTGCCTAATTATTAATTATTAATATCCTTAATACTACCCCACTAAACTACATTACTTAGCACGCAAACTACATATGTTTATATAAATCTTCAAGTGGATATTCTCATATGATCATGAACCTTCAAAAAATCTGACCAAGAGTGAATACAAAGAACTCGGTACAACCATACAGAATATTTAAGCAGCTTCATCCTTGTGTCTTTTAGTTATTAAAGCATGAAGAGCTTCCTTCTCTTACGCATTTAAACTAGTTCTTGTGCGTATTTGTGTTTTCTGCAATCAGGTGGATGGATTCTCGCACATCACTCTCACTACTCGAGGGGTTTTTCCTGCGCCTGCGGCTTAGGAAGTGGGAAGGACTTGGGGGAACTGGATACTATGTGTCTTGCATAACTGGTATGACTAGAATTAAATCATGCTTGTTTACTAGCTTTACCAAAAATAACTGCATATTCTAGTGCACTTCTTAGATTACTAAGTTGATGTTTCTCTCGAGTTCTTTTTTGTTCATTTTTATTTCTGATGTCATCAGGCTCTCAGAGAGAGAGTTGTCCACTGAATGTGAAAGCCTCTATAGCTGTTGTTGTTGGGGGGATTAGATGTATGGTTAAGAGCAAGTATGTATCCAACAACGATTTCCATGAGGTAATTATAATCTGACTTGCTAACAAGTTACAACTTGATTCAACTCTGGTAGCGCGTTTACTAACCCGTAATCGGAATGAGAATAAGGAATCCGATTCCGATTACGGATTATACCTGTGTTTACTAAAATTGGGATGAATCAAAAGTGCGTGGGGCCCACACAAAAAATGGAATCCAATTCCTGAAATTGGAGGATTTAGATTCCCAACATATACAAGGTATTTGGATTCCGGATTGCCCAAGCAATCGGAATGATAATTTTTTTTCCCTTTATGCCCTCACTTACTTTCATTATTTTCAAGATTATCCTTTTAACCCTAGACTTATTTTCCCCTCGTTGCATGTGCTACTAGCTCATTAAGCATAATTCTATGTTCATTCATATTATGCACAACTTCATACATATGCCGAAGAGAAAACTACAACTTGAGCGAGAAAATTTAGATATTAAAGTCAATACTTAAATTTATAAAAAAAATAAACAAAATCATTTTAGTATGTCTGTGAAATAAAAAAGCAATTTAATTTTTTCTTACTATTATATACTATATCAAATTTTATTACAAAAAAGTATATAAAATATTTGATTTGAGACAAGGGCATTTTAGTAATCATACTGGTTTATATTCCAATTCTGCTGAATTAGTAAACAGCTTTATGGAATTTTATTCCGATTCCGAACAGTTTTAGTAAACAACTTCAACAGGAATCTGATTCTGATTCCACCTCATTTCAATTCCTCCTTAATCTAATTCCTTCTCAATCCAATTCCTCTCAATTTGATTACGGATTAGTAAACGCGTTATGAGTGAGGAATGTATTCCCACTATTAAGGTTTTTCTGGTCTTATATTTCATTGATATACGCCTCTCCTACATAATGATTATGGCAAAAAAACGGAGTTAATAGTTGTAAACCCTTTCTTCTTAAGACGTGCTAGCTTGTCTGTATAGCCCTTAGTTGTGTTATAGGACTCCATGTTTTATGAGATTGTGTCACTTTCTTTTGGACTTCTTGCTTATGCTCTACTCTACAACAATTAACTAGGGTTTTGTCATAATAAGATCACTATCATCAATTAACCGTAATCCTGGTAAGTGCACATAAAGATGTTAGAAACTTGATGTTCTATTTTCTTGCTGATTTCACCTCCTCATATATTGCAGGACGAGCTGAGGGCGTGGTGGTATGCTACCTCAAAGGGCAGTGACAAGATTCCGTCTGAAGAAGATTTGAGAGAAAAGGTAAAGAGAAAACGAATGTTAGGCTTGTAGTTTTCGGCATTTATAAATTTCCGCTTGGTTTAATTCTCATGAAAAATCAAGAGTGAGGTGAGGATATGCCAGATGTACTCTGTGCATAGTTATTCTGAAATTTTTACCTTGGATATTCTTTTGGCTGTGTCAATCATTATTGCTATACAGTCGGTATTGATGTGTGGATACCTAAAATGTTACACAAATATTAGATAAGGTGGCTCTATGTCAACGAAAGTGGGCGGCTTCTACTATAGATGTATGTGCGTCTCAGTGTGAAGTAAACTTACATAGTCCGGGTTCTTACCTATCTCAATCATCCAGTGATATGTAGTCATGTAATGAACAAGGGATGAATGAGATCGGTGGAGGGGGTAGGACCCCGTTGCCGGCTTTGGGGTATTTAACACACCGAGTTTTTTATCGTTACATTCTTAATCAATGATTCGATGACCAAGATGTAAAGCCAACAATACTGGAGTACAGGATATAGGAGGTTTTACCTGGTTACTTCCTTCACATGTTCGAGAAATTTACCATCTTTATTGAATGACTTGTATAAGTCTTCAGTGAATTTTGTAACAAGAGGAGTGAATCTTAGGAGGACGTGGAGAGAAATGATGAGGGTCATGACCTGACATAGTCGTTAGCTTCAACAAGACAACGATCGCTGGTATTGATGAAATAAGTACAATGACAGTCACCTACTCACCTTTCCTTTCAAATATTTCGTTTTCATTGATCGATTTGTGGTCGAAACAACATTCTAAAGGACATTCCTTAATTACATACTTTGCGCATATTTATCGAGAAATAACTCGATGAAATATAATAGCAGATAATTTGTTGCATAAGTCATACTCATGGAGAAGAGATCCTCTTCGAATCTTTTCCACCAAGGTCACCGAATCAAGTGATCCGGATCTTTGAAATTTCATCTAACAGCTAAAAATTATTATAACTTTTAAGGAGTCAAAACAGGTGAGCCGTTAGATGAAATTTCAAAGGTCCATATCACTTGATCCGATGACCTTAGTCATTCTCACACTTATGATCACTCATGTTTTTAGTTTATAATCGCAACGACCTTGTTTAGCCACACCATTAATATTAAATTATTAATTGATTAGTGTTAGAGCAGTTATGTTTTTATTTAAATATTTAAATATATTTATGTTTTGTTTTATTACCAATATTAAAAGTCAATTAATTTGGCTTAAGGAGTTATCTCCCCTAAATATAAAACATGCAATCAAACCGTTTTGTTTTCTTTTTCAGTTTGAATTGACTTACGTTTTGTCCCGTTGTGGTTTTTATCCGTTTTTATTTCAATTGCCATGATTCCTTGCGGTTTGGATTTCAATTGCTTTGATTCCTTACAGATTGTAATCTCAACGTATTTTTTTTATTATAATATATATATATACACACACACACTTCAACATATACAAAAAAGACATACAAATTATGCGTATGAAAAAAAGACTAAGAGAGAAAAAAAACTACAGCTTATATATTTTTTTTAAAAATTGAGTTCTGAAAGCAATATTTAGAAAATGTGTGAGTTCGAAGATTCTTTCATTGTGCAAGGAATAACTTATCAGAGGAATAAGATTCTGGGCTATTTTATCCTGGGGACGAAGTGGTATTTGTGAACTGCTTGCACACTTTGGGCAGAGCCGTGAAACGTCTTAAAGAGAGCGACTTAGTCCACAACTCATCCCAAGAATCATTCACCACTCAATGCTTCTACATTTTTTGGGTAACTTCGTTCCTTTCTATTTCAGTTTTCAACAATTTTAAGACGAATTCAATATGCCATGCATTATAAGGAAAACTCTGCTTCTCAGGAAAATCTTGTTGAAGAGTGATTGATTGCAATGATATCAGAAATCAACCTAGTTGATGGATCCGAAGGGTGATGGGTGGACATTGGTGCTTCTCGCAATTTTTGTTATGATCGTTCCCTTTTCAAGACCTATTCTGTGGCTGAGGGAAGAAAGGTGTTGTTGGGTGATTCGCACTCAACAGATGTTGCTGGTACTGGAGATGTGGAGTTGAAGTTCACCTCTAGAAAAACCATGATACTAAAAGATGTGATGCACACTCCAGCGATAAGGAAGAATCTGGTCTCAGGCTTTCTTCTCAACAAGGCTGGATTCACTCAAATGTTTGGAGCAGATACGTATACTCTTACTAAAAATGGGGTTTTTGTGGGAAAAGGGATATGCTACTAATGGAATGTTTAAATTGAATGTTGATAAAATATCTACTTCTTCTTACATGTCTTCTTTTAATACTTGGCATGCTAGACTTTGTCATGTTAACAAAAGCTTGGTTAAGAACATAAGTAACTTAAGTTTTTTACCCGACTTATCATTGAATGATTTTGAAAAATGTGAATATTGTAGTCAAGCTAAAATCACCAGAACTTCGTATAAATCTGTCAATAGAGAATCTGAACCACTTGACTTAATTCATTCCGATATATGCAAATTTGATAAAGTGTTAACTAGAAATGAAAAATATTATTTTATTACCTTTATTGATGATTGTTCGAATTACTGTTTTGTCTATCTTATGAAAAATAAAAGTGAAGCCATTGGCATGTTCAAAGCTTTCTTGACTAAAGTTGAAAATCAATTTAATCGTAAGATTAAAAGATTTCGTAGTGATAGAGGACAAGAATATGAATCTACTGAATTTGTAATTTGTTTAAGTCTCATGGAATTATTCATGAAACTACTACTCCTTATTATCCTAAAATGAATGGTAAAGCGGAAAGAAAAAATCGAACTCTTTGTGAATTGATTGTTGCTACTTTACTTAGTTCTGGAGCTGCTACTTATTGGTGGGGTGAAATTGTGTTGACTGTATGTTATGTATTAAATAGAATTCCTAACTCAAAAACGAATATTCTCCTTATGAAATTTGGAAAAATAAGAAACCAAATGTGTTGTATTTCAAAACTTGGAGTTGTTTAGCTTATGTTTGTAAACCTGATCCAAAAAGATCGAAATTGGCTAGTAGAGCATATGAATGTGTTTTTATTGGTTATGCATGTAATAGCAAAGCATATAGATTTTATGATTTGAAAAACCATGTCATAATCGAGTCACTTGATGCTGATTTTTATGAGAATAAATTTCCTTTTAATCTTCGAAATAGTGGGGGTTCTAATTCTTCTAAAATTTATGAACCTACTATTGTAGAACATAGTCAATTTGCATCAGAACCCAGGAAAAGTAAAAGAGCTCGAATAGCTAAAGAGTTTGGGCTTGATTTTCATGTATATAACTTACAAGAAGATCCTAATACAATTCAAGAAACTTTAACTTCTTTAGATGCAGATTTGTGGCAAGAAGCTATAAATGATGAAATGGACTCCCTGGAGTCAAATCAAACTTGGCACTTAGTGGATCTTCCACTTGGTTGTAAAACAATCGGTTGCAAATGGATTCTTAAAAGAAAATTAAAACCTGACAGTTCAGTTGAAAAATTTAAAGCCCGACTTGTTGCCAAAGGCTATAGACAAAGAGAAAATATATATTTCTTTGATACCTATTCACCTGTGACTAGAATAACATTTATTCGTGGATTGTTTGCTTTAGCTTCTATTCATGATCTTGTTGTGCACTAAATGGATGTTAAAACAACTTTCTTAAACGGGGAATTAGAGGAAGAAATATATATGGATCAACCAGAGGGTTTTATTATTCCAGGACAAGAAAATAAAGTTTGCAAGTTAGATAAATCACTTTATGGATTGAAACAGGCTCCTAAACAATGGCATGCAAAATTTGATAGTTTGGTTATTCGAATGGTTTTAAAATAAATGAAAGTGACAAATGCATCTATTATAAGTCTGAAAATAATATATGCACTATAATATGCCTATATGTGGATGATTTGCTCGTTTTTTGTTCGAATATTCATGTTGTGAATAATGTCAAAATTTTGTTATGTGCTAATTTTGATATGAAAGACTTGGGTGAAGCGAGTGTAATACTTGGTTTGAAAATAACTAGGTCCGAACATGGGTTTTCTTTAGATCAATCTCACTACATAGATTTTTTTTTAATAAAAGTATAATTATTTTGATTGTAAACCAGCTTGTACTCCTTATGATCCTAGTGTAAAATTGTTCAAAAACACTGGTGACAGTGTTAAACAATCTGAGTATGCAAGCATTATTGGTAGTCTTCATTGTGCTACTGATTGCACTAGGCCTGATATATCTTATGCCATAGGAGTTTTATGTAGGTTTACTAGCAGACCAGTTTGGAGCATTGGCATGCTATAGAGAGGCTTATGAGATACCTTAAAGGACGATGAATTTCATATTACACTATGAGAAGTTTCCCGCTATCCTAGAAGGTTACAGCGACGCTGATTGGAATACCCTTTCAGATGACTCTAAAGTCACTCGTGGATATATTTTTAGTATTGGTGGCGGGGTTGTGTCATGGAAGTCGAAGGAACAAACTATCTTGGCTCAGTCTACTATGGAGTCAGAATTAATAGCGTTAGCTACGGCAAGCGAAGAAATAGGATGGTTGAGAAACCTACTATCAGATACCCCTTTATGGGAGAAACCGATTCTAGTAGTTTTGATCCATTGTGATAGCACAGCGGTAATAGCTAAAGTGCAAAACCGTTATTATAACAGGAAAATGCGACAAATACGTCGTAAGCACAACACTGTAAAAGATTACCTTTCTAAAGGAGCTGTAAGAGTGTATCATATATGGTCTAAAGAAAACTTAGCTGATCATTTGACGAAATGACTAGCGCAAGAAAAGGTTTGGAAAACCTCGAAAGGGATGAGACTAAAGCTCATAGAAAATTGAGTCATTTGTGATAGCAACCCAACCTATAGACTAGAGATCCCAAGAAATAGGTTCAAAGGGTAATAACAAGTCACAAGTGATATGAGTGAAGTCTTACTAATTTTAATTTGGAATATTATTCCATGTCCATCCCTAAGAAGCATGACATCCTAAAGCGTTTTTAGGTTGAGATTTTTTTTTTTCTCTTAGTAAGGTCTATACTCTATGTTGAGTGGGATATCTAGCTGCAGGAATATCCTTTAGAGTCTTACCTGTGTGAATGTGGAAGTGAGGCCGCTTCCTATGAAATCTTGGGCAAGTTTCTAGAGCGTTCATTATACTGGGATATAAACACATGG